ACTGTCAGGATGCTCTTAGACGCAGCTTGCGGTTTAGGTCCCCCGAGGAGTACTCCAAAATACCCTAAACCCTCAACCTTAAACGCCAAACCCTAAACCCCGCCGTATTTCAGGGTACCTACCTGGACCGTTCATGTGCTACTTGTTTGGAATATACAAAAAACACCTTAGGTGGACCCGCCCCCCAGTAATAGCCCGTAAGGGATGATAGTGATTATGTTAGGGTCCTCTCATACCCCCTATTATACCAGTATTACAGGGTGGAGGGTCCTCCTGGAACATACCACATAAAAATGTGACTCGCCTTGGTAGCGTAGTAATTAGGCTGAATAGTTGCCAGTATTAACATCATGCTTCTGAATTCCTTGTAGAACTATAGCGTAGGCTGCCTCAAAGTACTTTTTTTCAGGCTGCAGTATCCTAAACCCTCTACCTGCCCTTTGCTAACCCGGCTTCCGTTTTATGTTCTATGTTCTCTTCCATTTAATTCTCCATCAAGGGGGTACAACCCCTCCACACACAGACTTTATGATCCCACTGTCGAACGACATCTACATGTGGTGGTTTCCCAAAATAGGAGGACCCCAAAATAGACCCCAAACTATGAGAGTCCTTATTATAGGAAGCCCCCAAAAATGAGGTACCCCTGATTTTGCGAAAACCCCATGTCCATAAGGATGAAAGCTCTTCCTGGGCTTGGGGGGAACCTTAGGAATCAAGTTGCCAGTGCCAGGCTGGCTTGTTTGGACATGTTTTAGGTCTAGGGTTCAGGGTTAAGGGGTTTAGGGTTTAGGGATATCCGGGCTATATAGGGGTCAGATAGGGATATAGAGGTCGCTGGGAATGATGGAGAGTCAAATGAAGAAGAAGATGCAGAACACAGCCAAAATGTGCGCTCTGTATGGATTGAATAGGGCTTACAGGAACTTACATTAAGTTGCCACTTCAAGGATGGCCCGTAATCATTTACTATGTGTCCAGGTCTTAGTTTAAATTCCTTCCAACCAGCCGCATTCAAGTAAAGTCTCAAGCCACTCTCCCATAGTAAAAAAAGTATGAGGGAGCCAGGCACTATACCCCATAGACCCCAGGGAATATAAAAGTGATCGATGGGGGTCATCTTGGGAAAGTTCCATGCGAATGGCATCTGAAGGGAGCGGGCTATGATGGCAAGGCTGCTCGCAAGCTCCCATGAAGGCCCAGAACTCCCTGCTCTGCAGTTCCTACAGGACATCCTAAAATAGTTTGCAAGAATTTGGGTATGCCCCCATGATGGCCGTCACAACCCAAACCCTGATCCCTCGATCATAAACCACCCCAAAACCCTAAACCCTAAACAATAACCCCTAGACCCAAAACTCTAAACCTTAAACCCTAAACCCTAAGCCCCCCAAGAACAAGCGGAAAGCATCGGTCTGCTAAGCTGCAGGCCTGGCCCAGATCCCTTCACCCTCAGCGGCTCATGGTGCGAGCTTGGTTTTACTGGGTTTTGGGGTTTGGGGTTTAGGGTTTAGGGTTTCGGGTTTAGGGATTAGGGTTTAGGGATATTCCCTATTCCATAGTAAGAACCATAAAGCTGTGGCAGAGGCGTCGGGATTTGAGAAACATGGGTCAGGTTCCAGCATGTAGGATGCAAGATTTAGGAGCTATACTGGGTTGCTGCTAAGGAACTTAATCTAAGACGTAGTTTAAGGGACTATATCGGGGAAACCACATCAAGTACTATGTACATATATGTATAATATATCGATCATGGTAGCTTAATTTAAGTTCCTTAACAGCAACCCAGTTTAGGGTACCGGGCTTGGGGATTATCGTACGGAATGAAGGGTTTAGCTTGGTTAGCAGGGATGGGCTATGATGGCTATAACCTAGCCAGGAGGGCTAGCATAGGCGATTGTATAGGAACTACAGTAGGGATGCATTCCCTGATTCCACACACGAGTGGTTACGCACCAGATACTTCGGGATCGAGGTTTTCAAGCCGATGAGTCTCTTTACAAAGCTTTCCTTGCACCTCGCAGACACACCACGTCTACTTCGCACAGAGCCAGCCAAACAGAAGCCTTCCCTGCAGTTTGAGTGCCCCCTGAGGTTTTAGGATTTGGGGCTCATGGCGGATTTAGAGCTGAGGGTTTATAGGGCTACTTGCCCAGTTAAATCAGGTGTACATACGCCCGTTGTAGAAATAGGATTATGTACTCCCTGTGCACCTCAAAAAATGCCAAGTGCAGTTACACATGAGCTACAGTCTACCCCTGAATAAGCCCTATAGTAGTCCCCTATACAATCCCTTATATAGCCCCTTCAAGGAATTTTGACCCTAAACCCTAAATATCCCTATATAACCCTATGTATCCCTATACAACCCCATTTAACCCCCTTTAAGGAATTTAGACCCTAAACCCTAAATATCCCTATTATAACCCTAAATATCCCTATACAACCCCCATTTAACGCCTTGTAAGGAATTTAGACTATAGCTTCACACGGGGTTATTCTGGAGTTTGGGAGCAATGGCTTGGGCTTCGGATTCCCCCGATTTTGTGGGTTTCCGACGTGCTGCTTATAGGGGTATATGTTGGGGCTGGGGTAGAACAACGGGATGATGGAAGAGAAAATGGAAACTACTATAGGGTTTAGGGTTTGGGGTGCAGAATTTTGGGGCTGGGGGGGTGTGGGTGCTCCTGACTTGCCACCTACATCTCTGATTCCTCATCACAGCTCCCAACACCTCCGTAGGCATGATATGTTGATTGGTTTAGGGTTCAGGGTTTAG